CTTGCATACTTGCCTGGTTTAATCCAGATTTTTTTTCCAGGAACTGTATTATATCAGATCCTTTTAAAAATGCTGAACACTTAAGAGACTCGTAAAAGACAACGACTGTTGTTTTTAGCATGATTTCTAACAGACTGACTTGAAGTTCCATATCTATATAGACTCTAGATTTCAGTACTTCATGTAAAAGACAGCTAAAATGGATGAACTGAATAGGAAGATGTTCTAGACATGAACAAAACCCAGTACTTAAACATTTATACCCAAGTGACATGACATAATATTGAAGTGTGCCACTTAGAAAACAGACTGGAAAAAATGGATGCCAACTTATCCCACTTCTTGTGGCCTTCAAGTATATCTGTTTATTTTCAAGAGTTAACACTGCAACAGAATACAGCTCAATTTTCAGACACCACAAGTTTGTCAGTGCTTAACAGAATAATCAAATGTATGAAGAGCAAACCTGATTTTAAAAAAATTACTGCTTCCTTCCCCAGCCTGAAGAGCACTGTACAGAGCTTGAAAGTTTGTATCTTCCATGAACTGAAGTTAAGGGTGTTAAATTTAGACTAACTAATTGAATAGTCAATGGGATTTCCATTGACTATTTGATTAGTCTATAAGGGCGCCTCCGTCTTTGAACTGTAGCAAGAGCCCTGCCGGGATAAGAGTGTGCTCTGTGGGGCTTCCACTTTTGAACTGTTCAAGAGCCCCATTAGGGCTCTTGTACATTTCAAAGGCTGAGGCGATGCAAGAGCCCCAGTGGAGCTCTTGTACATTGCAGAAGCAGCATCACAGCAGCAGTGGCATGAGCAGAGACTGCTTCAGTCTCCACTCACGCCAGTTCCTGCCCCCTGCAGGGACAGTGCTGGGGAGAAACCGGCTTTTGAGCCAGCTCCCGCTCTCCCCTCCCTTGCTGCCTCTCTCTGTAAGGGGCAGCAAGGAGGGGAGGGGAAGATTATCGGATAGTTGACCAGTTAGGAATCTAAGAGACTAAAGTTCTTCAAAAGAGATTACCTCAACTATCTTGTTTCTAAATATCTCATTTTCACTGCTGTTTCCACATTATATCCACATTTAAAATGCCCAAATAAAATATAATTACATAAATGAACTGGTTTAAGAAAGAGAGAAGCTTGAAATTGAAACTGTGCTACACACTCTTCATACATTCTTTAGAGCATTCCCCCAATAACAGCATTGTAATGAAAGGATGCTTAAATGTACAGGTGAGCTTTAAACATTTACATACCAATAAGCCTTGGTTCTGATGTGAAGTCTCGCAATGGGACTGGAATTTTCTTTACTATATACTCACAAACCACCTCAATGTTGTATTTCAGCTGTGCTGAGATTGGAATAATAGGAGCTCCTTCTGCAACTGTACCTACAGAAAAAAAAAAATACAGGTTGAATCTCTTTAGTCTGGTACCCTTGGGACCTGATCTGTTGCGAACCAGAGAATTTTCTGGACCATGTGAGGCAGCATTACCAACACTTCCACTGCTTATTAGGCTGTTACGGGATATTTAGGGGTAAATTAGAGCTAACTAACAGCACTGAACACAGAGCTAGGACTGGTGTCTGTAAACAAACTATATGGGACTGTGGGAAACTCAGCCACACCCCAAAACAGTGGACATCAGGCTAACTAAATTCATTCTAGATTGATGTTTCCAGACCAAAGAGTTCTGGACTAGAGAGGTTCAATCTGTAGTTTTACATCAGGCTTTATGGTAGCATATACCAAACTGTATGAGTGGTCATTCCATATTACAATCGCAAATGAAATTTCAGGGACAATTTCTATATATTTGTCCAAAACATAAAAGTCCATAAAAATGACAAGAGTCAGGGTCACCATTTTTTCTATTTTTTACTCTTCAAAGTAGTACAATATGGCATGTACATTGCCTATGTGTAATTCTGTGTATTTTAAATGGGAGGCCTATATAGTTTGTTTTCCAAGTCAGCTTTGGAGACAGCATTTTTCTCGGCTTCTCGTTTGATGATCAGAAGTGGTATGACATGAGTTTCAACTAGGGCTATCAAGCGATTAAAAAAATTAATCACGATTAATTGCATGTGCTGCCCATTCGAAACGCTGCAGCGGCGTTTCAAAGGGGCAGCACCGCAGAAGCCCAGGATCAACTGGGCTCCCCAGCTGACCCAGACTCCGTGCAGCACTTCCCCTTGGAAAGGCTGCACTAGGTTTCCAAGGGGCTGCACTGTGGGACCCCAGGGTCAGCTGGGGACTCCAAATTATCGCCGGCTCCACGTTCCACTGCCCTTCTGAACTACCGGAGTGGCACTTCAAAGGGGCAGGGCAGCATTAACGCTTGTAATTAATGCGTTAATCCTGTCCTATGTTAATTGCAGGCACTAACACAAATAAATCGACAGCCCTAGTTTCAACCCCTTAACCTGAGATGAACAGTGTATCTACTGAATGGGAGGAATAAAGTTGTGTATGCATGTAATGAACAGGCAGTTACCACAAAGAGGTACAAAGCAGACCCTTTGAGAAAACAGATTTGGACTTAAGTTCTTAGCCCCTTGCCAACTAGACTGTAAGGACTAGTCTAAACTAGAGTCAATACAACAGTGCAGCTAGTGTGCACACTTTATACCAAAGGGAAAGTGCTTTCCTATCAGCATAATCCTGCTGAAAGTACTTTCTACACTGGTGCTTAGGTCAGTGTAACTTGTGTTGCTTGGTGGTGGCTTTTCCACACCCTTGAGCAACTAAAGTTATACTGAAGTAAGCACTAGTGTGTACAAGCCTCAAGTTTTAAATTCTACAATGTGGCCAAACTGCATTGTAACTGAAATGTGGCATCTATATCTGGATGAGGGTTGTGAAAAGTGAGAGGAAACAGAGCAGACAACACGAAGACGCAATGACAGGAAAAAACTGAGATAGCCTAAAGAGAATGAAAGATTGAAAGTATTTGATGCATCAGTAGTGATTACATAGTTAAGATTGCAATGAGATTTGCATTTAAAGACAGACTAAAATGCTTTATTCATACTTTATGGATTTAATTTAACTTTCAAATCTGGCACAATAATTCCTCAGACCAATGTATGTTCTACAGTTTTTAATGAAATATTACATTTGAAAAAGATTTAAAAATTCTTCCTTTATTGAAGTTTCTTCCTGGCTTAATCACATTTGTTTGTTTCTCTAACTTCAGTTTCCACTAATTTCAAAATTCCCACAAAAGTACCTTAGACTTAGGCCACTTATGAAATTTTAAATACATGAGAAGTTGTCTCTCTTATGCAAGCCAACAATTCTGAGCTACGCAAAGGTTATATAACAGGACTTCTCAGACCTGTCAATTACATCCATTTTCTGATTATGTTAGCCTGCTTCTACAGCTGGGCTTTGCATATACCCCTGCTTTGCCAGGGAGCAAGGCAAAGTGGGAAAGACTCTGGGGAGATGGGAAATAAAAATAAGAAGGGGTATTAGGAAAGCAGAGGGATAGGGCAGTTTGCAGGGGCACGTGGAGTTTGGGTCCAAGGCACATGGGGTGAAAGCCCAATACTCCTGAACCCAGGTTTCTACACCTGAGAAGACTCCCTTACACCTGCTATCTTGGTCCCAGTGTGCCACAGCAACAGCATGATAGGAAGCCCACAGTATTGAGAAGATGCATGGGAATAAGGTAGGGTTTACAAAAGTGAGGATAAGCCAGAGACTGTGAAGTTCACTAGAGACTCAGATCATGTCTATACTTACTGCGCCAGAGATCAATCTCCTGGTATTTGATTTAGTGGGTCTAGTAAAGATTTAGTGGGTGCCCTCAGTTAGTGCCAGTACTTCTCAATTCACCAGGGAAGTCAACGGGAACATTTACTCCTGTCTACGTCCTACTGTGGAGACGGTGCCAAGTTCGGCTTAAGGTACATCAACTCCAGCTATGTTATTAACGTAGCTGGAATTGCGTGCCTTAAGCCAACCTTTCATGTCTAGAATAGATCTTGCCTTAGTTATTGCTATTGATTCAGGTATTACAGTGATAGGTAGCAGTACAAATCCCTAAGATATATAGTTTGAGCTTGGTGGGCCTTGAGTGGAAGAGTAGCCAAACTCTGAGAAGTCATTTGACACTAAATGGACTATGTGTAAAGGGAAACCCAAGGAAATCTGCGAGAAAGAATATATGGGGAAGAACTAAGGACTGGCTAGAATTCAAGGTGCCTACTGGTTGAGGTAGTGAGAGTGGAAATAAGTGCCTATCAACAGGAAAAGCATCTGCAGTAATGAGAAGGGGTACTGATGACTAGAGCTCGCAAACAAAACAATTGGTGGGCGCACTTAACTGGGATACGGAAGACTCAGGTTTAAGTCCCTGCTCTGCCTGATCCTGGAGCTGTTTAATTATTATATATTCAGAAAGAGACAGACAGACTCTCTAGCCTAGTGTTTAGGTCATTCAGGTACAAGTCAAGCCATTTTATACCCAGTGAGGAGGGTCCCTCAATCTGTATGTATCTAGGAACAATTCTTAAAATCCACTCATTGTAGCACTGTGGAAACAGAATATAATGCTACTAAATCTGAAAGACAAATCTTTTCGAAATAACTAAACAACACTACATTATATTTTAAAAAGCTACAAAAGCCTGACTCATCTGCTAATTCTCTAACTGGAAGTCAGGTTGTCCTAGCCAAATAGTCTGTCATGAAATATTTTAACCCCCAGGTTGAAAAAGTTACATAGAACTGCTAGCAAAGACTGTATTTCTGTTTCTGAAAACTTACCTTGTACAAAGGCAAGAATCTGTTCATACTGTTCTTTGGCCTGGCTCTCCTTTACCAAGTCAATCTTATTCTGTAGAATTAGAATGTGTTTCAATTTCATTATTTCTATAGCAGCTAGATGTTCAGAGGTCTGGGGCTGAGGACATGACTCATTACCAGCTAGAAAGGGAGGGGAAAAAGTGATTATGTACAGTTTAATAAAAATACATAAAACCTTCAACTGAGAGCATCTACCACCTCATTGTGTGCTTTAAAAAAATTACTTGCTAATTTTTTTGTTTAATGAAGAGCATGCACTAAATGCATAAAGACAAATGCCAAAAGCCATAAACTTTAACGATAAACCAAAAATTCAGGAAGCACTATTAAAGTTATTAATATTGTTTCGGTTCTACTCCCTAGGTCCGTGGTCCCCAACATGGTGCCCGCGGGCGCCATGGCGCCCGCGGGGGCATTTCAATGCGCCCGCCAGGTGCTCGGGGCTGGCCTGGCCCCGGGCACATGGCGCACGGGCGCTTGCGGGGGGAGCGTGCTTGGCGGGGGGAGCGCCGGGCGCGCGGCACTCGGCGGGGGGGAGC